TGTTGCTATAAATTGTATTCAGCAACTCTTCAAAAGATATTAACACCTAAATCTAACAACAATGCAAGAGATATCATCTTTACTGTCTCTTCTTAATGCTTCAGCTGTTAATTTCTTAGCTGCTTTCAGAGGGTCTCTGATCCTTCTAGCAATATCCACTGCCTCTTGATTAGGCATTACCTGATTTAGCACATGCAAAGTAACATGTTATGCTTTAGAGGCAAATACCATAAAAATAACCATTTATGCCTTACATGTTTTTTTCATTTAAAAAAAATGCATGGGTTGCTATGATTCACCTTCCAAAGTCCATCACTGGCAAGGATGAGAATATCAATATCAATATCTACCTCAGTAGTCTGCACATCAGGGTCTGATCGTAAATGTGACTTGAGGCTCTTGTCTCCAAATGCACGAGAAACAGCAAGTTGCCCATTTACTCTAGGCACATCACCTACATGAATCAAAGATCACTAACTAGTATTATTGTCGGCATTCTTTACAACTTGAAAGTAGACAAAACCAACTTCAGTGTACCTGGCATGTTGGAGACAAAACCTCCTTTATTCTCAATGATGCCTCGCTCTGTGTTGGGTTCATGATCTGTTGTCATTTGCACTGCTTGACCTTGTCTTGAAACAACTGCGCGTGAATCTCCTACATTAGCTATCCATAACCTTTGGCCATTGATTAATATTGCAGTTACAGCTGTCGATCCACCATGCCCCAGATCAGAACTATGTGAAAGAATCTCCTGATCTGTGTTCTGATATGCTTTGGATATAGACTCTGCAGGGTTATCCCAAAATTCTTCCTACCATACAAGTGAAAAAGTTCAAGATTGTCATCAGGATTATGATCAAACTAGCATAGATAATACTCTGGAACTCAAAAGTAACAACCTCCTTTAAAATGCTAGAAAACAAATGTTTCTGTAAGTAGGAAGGCACAGTATCTCCCCTGTGGCCATCATAAATAGCAAACAAACCCACTTCTTTTTCCTGCATCTGAACAAACTTTGCAACATGGTAATCCTCCATTGGATGGTTACCTCTCCCTTTTACTAGGGTGAAACCATACTTTATTGACCCCTTATGATTTTTCCCCTTACCTGTTTTGGATGAAGAACCAGAACCTACAACCTACAAGGTATTGAAAACAAAGTAAAAGAAAATTTCGAGAAAAACTAATGATGTCTCTATCCATCAACAATGATTGGACAAAAATACACTCTTAAAATTAACAACTTGTAAACTCTCTGATAGGACCTTGGAACATTTTTAGGTAAATCATGTGGTGGGATTAAAGACATTTTTTTTTCCTGTATATTGAAACACTTTTATTACCCCTCCTAATCAATTTAAAAATCCAGCAAAAGCAAGGATTGCGACAGAACTAGTTTTCTGCTTCAAATTGAAATTACTAGTCAAACATTAAAATTGAAGAAAAAGAAAAGGGACACCCACATGATGAGGTACCATATGCCTCCCTTCCCACAATGAGAATGGGGACCAAGATAATCTAAACAGGGAATATCAATGATTTCATACAACTAAAGTTTACTGTAATACAGAAACTAATCTCAGAACAAAATTCAATTTTTTTCCCGAAATTATTGAATAACAAGTGAATACAGACATGGATATTCAAGTTGAAGTATGTTCGGTAAAAATCACGTATTCTTCAAAAGCTCTCTCCATAACCGAATGAAATAAGTTATTATTGTGAACCAAAAAAGCCATCAATCATCTAAAAACCAAAACAGTGCTCACAAAAGTTAAATTGCCTTCAAACTCAATATACAGTTAAATAAAACGTTCAGATAAAAGCACTAGAGAAGAGAATACAACTGGAGATGTTACATTCTTACCTTAGAGAAAGAAGACTCAAAGCAGCATAATATACCCATGACAAAAACTAGTAAAAATAATATTTTTCCAAAGAATTCTCAGCATAGACCACTTTGGAGAAAGAAACCCACTTCTCAAAATCACAGGCCTTCTTGAGAATCACTATCTGTGAAAAATAATAAACACAAAGGTTATCATAGAAAACTACTCTGAAACCCCATAAAGGCTATCTGTGACAGAAGAAGAAGCTTAAAACAAGGAATATGCAAATTTTAGTATTAGTGATTGCCACCTTACTGGTCCAATTAGAACTGCTAAATGATTCAACTTGTTCTTCTTTGGTTGGATAGTTCTTGCTCTTTTTCTCTCCCTGTTTCTTCTTAATTCTCATTATTTGCACAACCAATTATATGGGATAACTATAATGACGAAGGAAGAAGCAAGATAAAGGTGACACGCAGCATTTGAGAATTGAAAACTTGTGAGTGTGAAGAAAAAAGGAAATTAATAAAAGATTGCGAAAGGAGGGAATTTAAGGATGTTTGTGTTCTTCAGTTTTGACATTCTTCAACCGTTTTGGGAACCTTAAAACATGGCCCTACCATATGTGAGTGAAAAAACAAAAATGTAAATATTCGTGCCAAGACACAAGACAAAGACTGAGAAACTCTTCTTTGCGCGTTGTACACTGTTTACCTGGCTTTCTTATATATATATATATATATTTTTTTTTTTTTTCATTTGACCAAATGCTAATTTGAAAGAGTGAATAATTTATGTTGTCCAACCCATATAAAGTTTTGATTCTTAAAACAATTTATATTTGAAATGAGTGAAATTATTAAAAAATGCAAATACTTATTTGGTTGTAATTAAGCTAAACACATCCTATTATGCAATAAAAGAAAATGAGATATAAGAGTAATTTCAAATTAATTCAAATATATTCTGGTATCCACGTGAAAATATTAAATAATAAAATATAAATTTAAGGATAAATCCATAAAGACAATACATAATTATTACATCATAAATATATTTATAAACGGTATCGTAGGACTTGGTTAGTTGCAAATCAAACAAGGAACCATTAGCAAAACTAGTGGACTAGGAGCAAACACAATTAATCTTAATGCTCATAAGTTTAAAAGTAAAGTGTAATTATCTGTTATTAGACTCTGATTAATTAAAAGTCTACTCTAAAACCTATAAATACAAGTTCGAGGTAAGGAGGTAGGTGATTTTACATTTATTGTGTCATTACTTTCTAACTGTCAACATTGATCTAACTTTGACATCGAAGTGTCTTATGAAAATACCCTCTAATGATTTGGACGAGCAATTGCACTAGAACTTGACTTCAAGACAACCTTTAGCCTTTAGATGACTCACTAAACTTTGAATTGTTGACCTCGACCGTTGACCAAACAAACCTTATGTAATATTCCTTACAAATAATGCAATAAAGTCTTTTTTTTCAAGAAAATGAGTGCAAGTGTGGTCCAGGTCAAGTCTTAACAGGTTAGTGAAGGAATAGTTCACTTATGTGAAAACCTGCCGACCACTCATTGAGTTGGTGAAGGATAAGTTCTGTAAAGAACCCTTATCGCTCGGTCCAATGAATCCAAATAATCGGTCAGTGAAGGAAGAGTTCCCTCAAGTGAACCCTTACTACACCACTAACTTGGTGAAGAATGAGCTCACTTAAGTGAGCTTTCGCTAATCACTCATCGAGGTGGTGAAGGAAGAGTTTTGTAAAGAACCCCTGCCCCTCATTCCAAAACAATCGGTTAAGGATGAGTTCACTTAAGTGAGTCCCTACTGATCACACATCAAGGTGGTGAAGGAAACGTTTTGTAAAGAACCCTTGCGGATCACATATCAAGGTGGTGAATAAAGAGTTCTATAAAGAACCCTGCCCAACCAATCGATGAAGGATGAGTTCACTTAAGTGAGCCCCTACCGATCATACAACAAGGTGGTGAAGGAAGAGTTCTTTAAAGAACCCATGCCCCTCGATCTAAACAAATCGGTGAATGATGAGTTTATCCAAGTGAGCCACTGTCTAACATACACTGAATTAGTGAAGGAAGAGTTCACCAAAGTGAACCCTGGTCGCTTGGTCGAAAGAGAACTTAGTGAAGGAAAAGTTCACCTAGTGAACCCATGTTGATCAGATTGTTAGATAACTTAAGAAAAGTTCAACTTGACTCAATGTCGCTCAACTCAACAAATTGTTTGACCGATCGTTCCTCTTTGCAGTTATTTCTTATCGGCTTTGCAATTAAGTTTAAATTGATCGATTTTAAGAGACTCGTGAAGAAAACAATGTAATAGGACAATTTAGTTAAAAGCGAAAAGCAAGAAATAAATAACGCAACCAGTGAAAGAAATAACATTTCATTAACTATGTATGGTGTACAAAAAGTAGTTGTTGGCTTATGAACCAAACAATAATAAATACATCCTTCCCCAGCTAGAAGCTTTATTCGTGGGGTTCGTCTCAACCATTGTCACCCATAGAATTGCCTGTAGCCTCCTCATCCTTAACAACCTAGTCATCTCCCACAGCAACGACCTCCTTATTTGGCTCAACCTCTTCGTCTAAAGATATTTCATTGATCTTCATCAATTGCCTTTTGTGAAAGTCCTTCATGACTTCAAAGTTGCCTTCGTCCAATGCGATCCGGTAGAAGAAGGCAGCCTGAGCGAAGGCCGTGTTGAAACCAACCTTGTGCTGATTGAGGAGCACTCGACCGACCTCATCGTTTTTGGCAACATGGCATCTTTCTCTTGGACTAACTCAGCCCTCTGCTCAATGAGTTTAGTATTCTATGCAGTGAGTTCTTCCATCACTGTCTTCATATTTTGACAATCTAGAGTTAGATCATCAGACTTCTTGCAAAAGGTGGCGCTCAACAATAATCTTGACGTTCACACCATTCTTCTCACAAAAGTTCACACTTAACGACACTCGTATGCTTCTCAACGTCTTGGAGTTAAATTACTCCAAACTTGCAATACAAGATAACATTGATCGGTAAGCTAAAATGGTCAATGGAAAAAAGGGATGTTCAATGGTCTAAACTAAATGCTCCCAAACTTGCACAGTTAAGTTTGCGCTCAATGTTCAACTAGTATCGCTCAGTGCTATATTAGTTGACAATAAACTCATTTTTGTGATTTAAGTGAACTTCAACCTGATCAATTGCTCAAATTGGTGTTCCTTTTTCAGAGAGTTGGTTTTCTTCTTGGGCTAGAGTTTAGTCCGATCTTCTTGTGATACACTGCTAAGTATCACCACTTGGGAGTTGTCCATCAAAGAATTTTGGACTTCCAACATGTCTTTGGATCTTTGATGCCTTTGTTTCAGCATTGTAGCTTAATATTTTGTTTTGTTTTAGTGGTCCAACAACTGTGATATTCCACATTTCTGCCCTTAACAACTAAGGGGGAGTACGTTTCCAAGAAACTACAAGTCACATATATATGGGTGTAGGCCCCTGCAAGTTTGTCGGCTTCCAACCACTACGGCACCCATCAGTCAGTGATGCAATTTAGTCCCTACAGTTTTATAGCTATCAACCGTCGCTGCAGTCGCTACCGTCTCACAACAGACGCAACTGCGTCATTCGTTCTTGGGCTAGAGTTAGTCTGATCTCTTGTGATACACTGCTAAGAATCACCACTTGGGAGTTGTCCAACAAAGAATTTTGGACCTCCAACAATGTCTTTGGATCTTTGATGCACTTTGTTCAGCATTGTAGCTTAATATTTTGTTGTTTTAGTGGTCCAGCAACTGTGATATTCCACATTTCTACCCTTCACACTAAGGGGGAGAACGTTTCCAAGACACTGCAAGTCACATATATATGGGTGTAGTCCCTGCAGTTTTGTAGATTTCAGCTACTACTGTTGATCCCGTCACCCAGCCATCATTGATGAGGATTTAGTGGTAGTCCCTGCAGTTTTGAGCTCTTATCTTTCAGCTAGCCACTGTTGATCCCGTCACTCATCCATCATGATTGGGAATCAGTCCTTGCAGTTTGTCATTGTCCACCACTGCTCTTCTTCATCCACTTTTGAAGTTGGAGTTTCACAAGCTGCTATAGTCCATCTATGTTTGCCTCACACATTTGAAACAATTCATCTAGTTCAACACTGAGTATATCTATTCCAAGCTAGTTCATTACAATGTATGCTACCAGCTTGAGAGGAGTGTTAGATATATTAGTATCTTTTATATTTTAGTAGTTTGTTATATATTTCTCATGTTGTATTTTGGGCTTAGCCCATATTTCTTCTATTATAAATAGAGCACCCTATGTGTGTATTTTACAC